AAAATTCACATATATATACTCTGAGTGATAATTCATTTTCGATGAGTGTTTTTAGAGACTTCAAGAGACATGTGGCTCGCGATAGTGAGTACATGCGCAGCGGGAAGAAGATACCATTGAAAATCATCCAGGTGAGCGATTTTTTGTGGGTAAATTTTTCCGGTGTTCCCATCTAGCTTTGAGAAATAACATTCCTCAGAGTTCGAAAATGAGGTTCCTAATGTGATGACATTCACATGGGGAAAACTGATTGAAGAATATGGAAAATTCAAAATGAGTTCCCCCCGGGAACATTATAGATTTCTGGATGATTCTCTGTTCGTAAAATAATATTATTCTTCATCATCAAAAATTATTTTTTATTAATCATCAAAATATGATGTATCATAAAAAATAATTTGCTTCATAGTTTAATATTTTTGTACAGCATTTTCACAGAAAATTGAAAAACGTGAAAAATGGTAGACTCCATAGTTCATTATTTCTGACAATAACAAGGAGCACATCATTTTCGTATAAAAAATGATGATTTTTTTATGACATTTTGTGCAGGAAGTTGAGGATTTCGAATTTGACAAGAACGCCGAGCTCGAAGAGGCTCGGGCCACCCATATCACGTTGAAAAATAGGCTCGTGAAATTAGAAGCGGAATTACGTGGAAGGGATCAGCTTGCGGAAGGACTCCATATCATAGGTGAATTATGATATCAACGAAATTACAATTTCGAATCTCTGTGTTGGAGATAGTATATATTGAAGTTTCACAACGACCCGTTTTACGAGAAGTGGAGTGATACTGTGTGAAGAACGCGATATTCGCGGTGATATGCAGTAGTCGTGAAATATGTGTTTCACTAGCGTTTTCAATATAATGGGTATTTTTGGAAATAACTTCATGCTATGTGTGTCGGAAAGTTTTTTGAGCGAGGGAAAATTTCCAAAAAAAATTAAGAAAATTCGAAATTTCAGTAGCTCATGCGTTGTCGTTGGTGTTACTGTTGATATTTTTTTCGCAGATTTTGAACAATTGAAGATCGAAAATCAAACGTTGAGTGAAAAGATTGGAGAACGCCAAGAGCAGGTACAGGAGCTGAAGAAGAAGATTATCACGACTATACAGGTTAGATTGTGAAAAATGGATTTGCCAGGATTTGAACCCGGGACCTTCCGCATGGTAGATTGGATTCCTACGGTTTTAGGTATTGGCTCATATGCGAGAGAAGATGGGGTTTCTCGAGAAGCGAGGGGGGAGTATTCATTCCTCCCTCACTGAACTCGATAAGGTGAGAAGTCTTTTGTGGTGAGTAAACGATTTAGCTTTGAGAAATAATATCCCCTAGGGGTTAATAGTAATGGGAAAATGTTACTAATGTGATGGCATTTATATGATGGGAAACTTAATTTTCCAGGATGTATTCATAGTCATTCTCGGAACTCAAAATATTATAGGTTCCTGGATGGTCCCCCTGACGTTTATTCGTTCTTTACTATTTCTCTACGACTACATCAGTAGAACTATCGGGAAAACGTTATAGTTGATTGCATATTGCAAGTAGAACTCTTGCAAGCGTCCGCTAGAAGCACCTCAAACAACGGAGCACCTAGGAAGGGGGACGGACAGCGAGAGAGCGAAGTCCGTAGCCCGCATCCCAAAAAGCGGTCGTTAGAGACCTCAGCGCGTGGGCTGACATTGGCCACCGCGCGAGGGGACAGGGTGACCTCGGCAACTGCATAGTTCTACCTCGTTACACAAGTGTAACGTCCAAAAATATGAATAGCCCTAGTTTATGTCGAGTATTTTTTAGTCACTAATATTTCTATTAGTTATAATGTATATAGTTAGCATTTATCAAGATATGAATAGATATTAATAAATCACGATATAATTAACTATTATTATTGTTCTATTATTAATGGTCACATATTACTTGTAACTAGATCTATTGGAGTTTAACAACCCGTTTTACATGCAAACTTGGTGAAAAACGCGATATTCGCGGCCTGCAGTAGTGTCCCACTAGTGTTTCTCGTATCACTAGGGTGGTGAAACTCCATTGTATAAATAGATAATATTAATGATAACATATATTTTTATGTGTCGTGTTGGAAATAAGCCCGTGGCAAGAAAAACACTCCGAACTCCGTTTTCTCTTCGCCTGGAAAGTCTAACTCGGTGAGGAATTATATGTTTGCTTTCCTCGACTGAACTTGTGGGTTTTTTCATTATGCATAATAACTATGGTTATTCCTTGCACCAAATAGCGTAATCGATAAGCTACAGCTATAACAGGGCGGGCGAACGTTAACACTTGCGGGAACTACATGTAATTTTTGGGTAGAAGTGTACAAAAGCCATAATTAGTTGACCATATGCATATATTCGTGTACAGGAAATAGTCGGGCAGCGAGAGTTGGTTGCCAAGACTAAGCGCGATCGGGATGGGTATCGCAGTGAAAGTGAAAGGCTTCGACAAAGGGCCGGCATAGTTGATTCGGAGCTCATCACGAGGGACTATGAGGAAAGGTTCCAGCTTGTGTGCATATGTACGTTGGTGTGCTGATTTGACTGCAGGAAAGGAAGAGTAGCAGAGCTGAAGGAAATCGTGGAGGCTCTAAAAGACCATTATGAAAGATTGCTTGCATACATGTCACAAGAATGAGTGATTTCTGTGTGTGTTGATTTAGTCGTGTTGCTGTCCAGTTTGGTAATCACTTGTGGATTAACTGAGATTTGGCTGGTCAAAAGAAATTCAACTCCTTTGTGGTAGAGAAAATTGTGAGTAAAAACGACGAATTTCTGTCAAAACTACTATACCAACTCAACAACGACCTATACCTCGAAGTATAACTGTTGGTTCACTTCACTGCAATGAAGAAACACTACCAATAGTAGTATTTTCAGAAGTGTTATGACGCCACAAAATATTGATAGTGTTATACCATCAAATAGTCGTTAAAATCATTTTAGTACCATCGAAGCTCATAACACAACTGACGAACAGCGACTTATATATGATATCAAGTAGTCTGTCGGTATTAACAGCAGTGTATAACGGGACAGAAGGAGATAATGGAGACGATTGAGCAAACTTTAGACACTGTCGGCTGATTTACTGTAGATAAACTTCTCTCAACAGTTGTCAACAGAGTGGAAAAATTCATGTGCTGGAAAGAAAATTTCGCGAAAATTTCGGAAAATAATGATTGTTTTTTCTGAGCACATAGCCTAATACGTATATGAACTCCTGTGATTGATGAGGAAACTCTCGAGCTCAGTCGAGGAAACCAAACGTATGGTCCCCCTAAAATTGGAGGGTTTCACGTCAGCTCAAGGGTGAGGTGTCTATAGAAGCATCGAGGAATGGGGACAAGAGGCAAGGAGCATGTAAGGATGATTTGTGCAACGCTAGCTGACTTAATCTTCAACACTAACGTAAAAGCGGAGAAGACTGTACCGTTAAATTAGCTCCTTAGGTTTAGGCGTGTCATGTGGTGAGGTGTACCGAGGAATTCCCGTCGTAGTTGATGTGCCGGGAACAGCACCACCACAGATGAGGGTCGAACCAGAGGGAGACACGAATTCAGTTACAGAGGGTTCTTCACCGTTCGAAGCATCACTGCCGTTGTTGGTCATAGCTTACGCAACTCCAATTGAAGGTACGGAGAACCGTAGAAGGTCAATTAGAGATAGATGGAACGAAGCTGCAAACGAATGGGATTCAGCTCGCTCTAACAGTCATCATAATGCATACTACACTACGACTCTAGAATGCACGATACTTTATTCGCAGTCATCATCGATAGTATGTTCTAGTCAGCCCTCTCGCTCGCCACGCGGTTACACCGTTACAGAGCCCCTGACGGACCACTGGCTTGACTGGGGTTCGTCACCAACAGAGTATCCGAGGGGCGAGATATCCCAAGGGCCTCAATCCGGTCCTTGCTGGCAGCCGTCACACGACCGTTGGGGTGTATTTCAACCCGGGCAAGGATGCAGCTTGCAGGAACCTCTGTCGTTAATACCATCCAATTCCTTCCAGGAGACTCTTTACTTCTCTTGGTCGCCTCGTCGCTCCTCCAGAGGGGGAGGAACACGGTCGTCTTAGCACCACCATCATATACCCAGATAACAACCTTCTCACACCGGGCCTCAATCACCTTGCCCACCATGACGAGGTTATCTTGAGATGGCAAGTAGAACGCCACGAACTTATCTACTAGAGCATCGTCCTGGAGGCTCGCAGAACGCGCGACAAGGTGAGCTGCTCGGACCTCAGTAGCAGGGGCCAAAGCACCAATGGGAACCTTCTTGCCCGACTCCAAAACCGCCACTATGGGGATATCAGACCCAGGTGCTCGAAATAGTTTCTTCACCACTTCTCTTCGGCCTTCGTAGAGAACCTCATCGTGCTCCGATAACTTCAGAGTGTTACTATCCACAGCAGAACCGGCCGCCAAGCTAGCGCGGTTGTAGAAGGCCTTCACGTCCCTGGAATCAGCAAGCGCTTCTGTTGCCCATACAGCTGCTTCGCGAATATCAGCGATGGTTCTCTTGTCAATGTCTTTGTTCAAGTCATCCAATTCGCAGGTCACTCCTTCCTTCAGCAGCGGCATTAACGGTTCACTACCATATACAGCCAGATGGGGCGACAATCCCTCTTCATTGGCCGCCAGATTGACCTTGGCCTCAGCTGATCCCAGATAGAGCCTCAGATCATCGGGGCCGTCGGCATCACCCAGAGATTCCACCCAGCGGAATGTCTGACTCACAGCTCTATGGGCTCGCTCTATCCGTGAGTTTCCCGTGGGGTTACGGGCCGCACTGGTCTTCACCACCCACCCGAAAAGATTACTCATAGCACCCAGAACCGAGCCGACAAATACAGATCCTTGATCGGAGCAGAGCCTACTGAACTCGCCATGACGAACAATGATTCTATGCCACAAGAATCTGGCGACATTGGCAGCGGACTGGTCGTTTATAAGCTCAAAAGACACCTCACCAGTAGCCAGGTCAATGGCACTGACCACACACGCACTGGGCGGCAAACCCAGCCTCTCCTTGAGACCCGTCGGGATCATCTTCAAATCCACGCTGTAAGTGTCGAAGCGAGTACGGCAATCGGGGAGTACACCAGGGGGTTGCCGGTATCGTCCTGGGCAGCAAATTGGACATCTAGCCCGATAGGCTTTGACATCGGCCGACACCCCCGGCCACCAAGCAACTTGAAGGACCATGCCTAGTAGCCGATCTCTACTGTTGTGCGCCGTGAGCAAGTTGTCGTGCAGCCTCATTAGCAGACTCTTCCTCATGTCTCTATCCGAACCGTCCTCGAGCAGGGTAGGTACCATGGGCTGGAGGTCGACATCGCAATCGCTAGGGATCACCATAACCTCTTTAGGGCCATCGCTTGTCCTGAGAGACCCTTGGCAAAATAGTAAACCCACTTCACTCCCAGCAAAGGGCTGGCGGATCGCAAATATCCCGTTCGCGAACCATCGTGACACCTTCTCTACCACCAAAGGAGACAACCCAGAATGGTCGACTTTCCGGCCAACAGCAAAGATCTCGCGGACGCGAACTCCTTGGAACACCGAATCATCCTCAGCGAGGGCCTTCTCCACCACAGCTGCCTGGTTGTGGTTGAGGTCGATAATGTCTAGTGCCGCCAGGGGAGCCTCTACATGAGCAACCTGCGGTGCCGTATAGCACTCTTCTGGTGGGCTCTCGCCCTCAGGAGGAGCCCCAGAGGTCACGGGCGCAGCAGCCATCACCGGGTAGTCCTGCTCACCCAACATGTCGTCATCTGCTGGCCGCAGAAGGTCCGGGATGACCATACAGAAAGGTAAGAGATCCTTGCCGGCCTCGTCTCCTTGGCATCGTGGGTCTTCCTCGGGTTGACACAGGAGCTGCTCATGCCAGCGGCTGAGTAGATCGGCCACGTCGTTAGAGGTACCAGTACAGTGCCTCACCGTGTAGGGTAGATATCTCCACTCACTGGCCTCCTCGATCCACGAGAGGAAACGGCGCGACTTGGCGCTAATCAAAGGGGAGAGAGGGAGCCGGTAAGTAGTCCATCGAGAGAGACTGATAGTATTGTCAGTTAACACCAGGATCTTAGCCTCACTCTGTGACTCTCTTGGAGATCTTGGCCTGGTGGTAGCTATGAACAGCTTGCCCCACTTCTGCATGGCGGCCATGAGGGCCAGCATCTCCTTTTCATAGATCATTAACTTTACCTCATCGCCCGACAGAGCACGAGATAAAGCACCAACCAATACCGCTTTCTCGGGGTCTTTCAAGTCCTCCATAGAGACTTCCTGGGAAGGCCCATTATACCGAAAGAGCGCAGCCCCAATGGCAAGGTCAGAAGCGTCCACAGTCACAACCCAGGAGCTAGCCTCACCACATATCAAGTCTTTGTACGAGTGAAGACCTAGAGGGGCGTTGACGATGCTCTCAGACAGCCGCTTTAGGGCATCCTCTGCCTCGGGCGAGATCTTGAATGGCTTCTTGTTGACCAATGGCGTCAGGACCTTGAGGGTCTCCCCAAACCCCGCAAGCCGATCGAACTGAAAGGCGCTGCGGGCGTAGTTAATGGACCCCAGGATTCGTCTCAGATGGGACCCACTAGTAGGAGTCTGGGCGAGCGCACTCTTGAGCCGAGCTATGCTCTCGTCGCTCAGCCGGATTCCTCGGGCGGAGAACTCTAGCCCAATGCAGACAGCGCTCGCACCAATAGAAGGACCACACTTAGAGCTTACCCTCTTCCCAAGAGCATTGATAGCGGCCACCACCACCTTCCGGCGTCGTTCACACTGATCAGCAGTATCGCCCCAGATGAGGATGTCATCCATGAAGATAGCACAGTACTCACGGTAGCTTTCTCCGAGGAGAGTCTGAAGCCCATGCCGAATATGATATTGCCACAATAGAGGGCTCAGCCCCAATCCCTGGAGGGCCACCTTGCTACGGTATACGCGACCGCCGATAGCAAAACACATCAAGTCTTGAGCCCTAGGTGCAGCCGGTATGCTCTCAAAAGCAGCTTCAACGTCCACAGTGGTGAAGTACCTCGCACTTTGATCAACCTGACGCACAAATTCCGCCGCCGAGAGGCCATCATCCCGGAAATAGTCGGGAATGTCCACCATAGTGTTCAATCGCCGTAGATCTACTAGTAGTCGAACCGCTTCCTCGCCTTTGGCCGGTCCTTCTTCAATAAGTCTTCCTTTCGCCTTGGCGAAGCATGGACTAATCCACATGGATGCAGTGGGAGCTACTTCTTCCCAATGTCCAGCCAGCACCTCCTTGCGGATTTTGTCGTGAACACCGGGTACTAGCTTAGCCGGAATGTTGTAAGGAGCTTGGCATTGGTAGGGGGTCTTCCGGTAGGACTCAGGAATATCAAAATCGAGCACCGGGGCCACATACCCGATGTCCGCAAGCCTCTCCTTCATAGATGTCGTGAGACGCTCCTCCGACCAGATGGCCGAAAGCTCCTCATAGTTCACCGCCTCTACCATGCTACAAACCGGGACGGAACAGACCGGCTGAGGCTTGCGATCTAGTCTGACCAAGGGAATCGCGATACCGAGGTCCTTCACCTGAAGCCTGTCGTCCGTAAGACACACATCCGCACCCATCCTTCGAAGTGACTGAGCCCCGAGGACAACATCCATCTCCACACACGTTGATCGTAGGTCGACGGCGAGAGCGTAAAGGAAACATCTTTTGCCCTCAAAGGATAGGCTCAGGCGCACCTTGCATCTAGGCACAACCCTTCCACTCTTGAAACCTGCCAGCGTGGGCAGCTCGTCACGGGGGCAATCTACGATCTCGCAGTAGTGGATCAAGTCCTCGTGAATGAGGTTGAGCTCGCATAGTGTATCGACGGCCACTATCACATCTCGATCTGGATAGGCAGAGGAACGAAGCCGGGCCAACACCGCCGGAACCGCCAGAGGCTCTGCCATCAGAGAAGTCACCATATAGGTAGGAGCATCCTCCCTGTTCGTGATGTCGTCGTCAGAGGACTTTTTGGTATCCTTCTCGAGCTTGTTCTTGAACCATTCAGGAGCATTCTTGCAGTCGGGATTGTTCCAGCAGAAAGGAGCCGTGTGTCGGGTGTACTTGTTACAAATGGTGCACCACCTGTCGGGACGAACCGGCCTTCCTTCAGACTTCTCCTTAACGTGATCGGATACCCTGGCCGGACTGCTGTGTGTTCTCGACCGAGCCGCAGAGTCCTTGGAACGCGAAACGTGCTTGGGCACAGAGCCATATTCCCAGGGTAACACCGCGTACGCCTCGGCCTCGATAGAAAGGAGCTCCTTGGTGATATCTTTGAAGAGAAGCTCCTCCGGCGCCTTCCTGTTCCTCCGAAGAGCTTCACTGAACCGCTCGCGGATAGGCTTGCTGACCGCACCAACCACTTTCACCACACGATCATAGTCACTTGGTGGGGGTACACGTTTGAACGCGAATGCAGCTACCATGTCGCTCCAGGCCTCATCCTCGCGAGAGAGAAAGTCGACCAGCCACTCCTTCGATTTTTGGGACAACTGTTCCCATCGATAGCGTGCTTCAAGATGGCAAGTCTGACTCGATCCAATGCGAACTAGAACCTGGGTCAGGAGAGAGAGTAGTCTCTCCCATCCAGACTTCTCCTTGAACCTAGCTGCCCCACTCAGAGTTGCATAGTCTACATCCACCGGTAAGGATGGTCTAAGGAGGTGCCCATGTTGAACTTTGATCTCGTCCAAAATGTCCTCGACTTCGCGATCCCCTTCCGCAGCCAATAATCGCAGCACTACAGTTTCAGCCGCCTTCTTATGAATGCCATTACCGTACTGGTAGACATGATGTAGCAATAGGGCCACTATGATATCCAACGGAAAGTTCCAGGACTTCTCGAGCATAGTAACCGTCTCGAGCAAGGCCCTACCGAGATCTTCATAAGTATCCTTCTTGGCACCCTTGAAGAGCGCGCGGAACGGGGTAGGCTCATTTCTGCAGACCTCCTCATAGAGCTGTGGTATCGATGCAACCCAATACTTGTCGGAGATCTCTTTAGAAATGTTCACAGACTCGTAGATATAATAGATCGGACTATTTTGACCGACCATACCATTCCCACGGATGACGTTGGCTACCACGTTTCCTGCAGTTTGGAGGGAACTGAGAGTTGCTTCTCCGTTACACTTGGTCACTTGGCACACCTGCTGCTTGATCTTGTTGAGTTCTTCTCGAAGGGTCAGAACTTCTTGTGCAAGTCTGGCTTCACTGACACTTTGGGCTAAAGCTCTTGCTTCAGTCGATATCTCTAATCCTGTGCCGGGAACAGCACCACCACAGATGAGGGTCGAACCAGAGGGAGACACGAATTCAGTTACAGAGGGTTCTTCACCGTTCGAAGCATCACTGCCGTTGTTGGTCATAGCTTACGCAACTCCAATTGAAGGTACGGAGAACCGTAGAAGGTCAATTAGAGATAGATGGAACGAAGCTGCAAACGAATGGGATTCAGCTCGCTCTAACAGTCATCATAATGCATACTACACTACGACTCTAGAATGCACGATACTTTATTCGCAGTCATCATCGATAGTATGTTCTAGTCAGCCCTCTCGCTCGCCACGCGGTTACACCGTTACATTGACGTAGTTGACGACGACTGAAAGAATTCTTGAAATCTTGCAATCTTGAAGTTCCTTAATCTGCACGCATGTCTAGCGTTTCAGATATGTCGCTATCATCATTATCATGATCGTTGAGAGTCCATTCGGTCAAGTCCCTCATCCCTGGTAGTGAGCCTTGCCTTCGGGGAGGTTTGAGGTGATCAGTGGAGATGAGTATGTGGGAGTTTATGGTAGAAAGATTGAATGATGGTATACCAGTAGATGTGGGTAAGAGTGTAATGATTGGTGATGGTGGGGGAAGAGTTAGAGATGAGTCTGATAGAGACTTGAGGTTTGCTAATAATGTCGGTATTAAATTCATGAATGAATCTTTTCTTACCACACCTCGTTAACATCAGTTTCGACGACCATCGATGGCTTTTGACTTCTTCTTTGTTATCATGGCATTTTCCCTCAGCCATTACTTCCTCACCTTCTTATGGTCTTCGGCCGCCTCTCCAAAGGGTCGAGTCTTCTCCTTCTCACAGGTAAGTCCCGTCGGTCACCATCGTCATCAACTCATCGTCTCAGTTGAAGTATTCACAGCTGCCGGTTTGGCGTTGGGGTCGATCTTCATGTCAACTTGGCGTGTCGGCGCGGTAGTAGCCTCCTCCTCATCCTCCCCTCAGTCGAGTCATCGTCGTTGATCCCTTCAGGGTAGTCAATACCTCTCGGGAAGCTACTACGCCGGAGGCCATAAGGATGATCGACTATCCTCCTCATCCTCCCTCGCTGTTGGTTTCTCATCCCGACAATATGGTTTGGTCTACGTAATCGGTGATCGTCGTCAATCATGGTTGGAGTTGGCAGAGTCGACTTGTGATAGATGGGAGACCTTCGATGCCAGTCAGCCCCTCTTCGCCGAAGCCCCACCATGTCGGTCCTCATCAACTTGTTGTCGTTGATGTTCCCTCAGGTGTTGGTAAGTCGGTCGGTGTTGAGAAGTGTACGATGGACTTCAACACTCATCTGGCCGACCGGTAGATGATGTTGCCTGGCCTCCTTCCCTCTTTGTCGTCGTCATACTTCTATTAGATGCATAATGTACAAGAGGCTGCTGATGTTAAGTTGGTGTGAGTATCTCATCATAGCATCCTCGAGTGCCATTCAAATCCTCATCGGCATTGCCCTCCTCACGACGAGTCTGTTGAAGTACGTAAGTCGCCGCTTTTATTTGTTCATCTTCCCTGTAGGTATAAACATTACTATGTGGTGATGTTATCATTCAGTGGGGTATTGGCTTGGTGTGGTATTGTCGGCTACTTCATCATAAGTTGGATGTCCTTCTATCGACTGGCCAGGACGGCCACCTTCCCCTACCCCACAGTGTCCTTCGCCTTCTTCGTCAACCTCCTGGCCTGTGTAATCCTCTACTCCTCCTCCTCCTCCTCCTCCACATCATCACCTTTTAGATGATCATCAGTTGGGCCGTTGCCCATTCGGTGATGCTCATCCGATCCATCAGACCATCAGATGAGAAGAAGCGAGGTCGTCATGGTCTCTTGGAGTGAGCAGCCCCCTCCCACGTGTTGGTTATATCCTCTTCGTTCAGTTACTACGACGGAGGTGGTCATTAATATGAGTATCCGCATGACAACCATCATCAATACCGTGTTGATGTCATCATCATTGGACTTGTGTTGAGGGGTTGCTGTCGCCGTCAGGGTCGGGATGTATTATTCTCTTTCAGTGTTGGTGGTGGTCTTACCCCTCCCCATCCTTGTGTTTATATCTATTTACATACTTTCCTCGTATTAACCTAATCGTGATGTCTTCCAACACTACTATCGAAATGCCTGCTGATGTTGTCAGCGTTGTCAGCACTGAAGGTTCTGTGAGAGACGAGCTCGATGCTGTTACTCACACTTTTGGTACGGCCCCCTTGAACGGTGTGGCTAAGTCCAAGTTGGATAGCGCTGCGGAGGCCTCGTCTCCCGTGGGAGAAATGAAGCCCAAGAAGGACACTTGGGCTAGCAGGACCTTCGCCCCTGGTTCGTCATTCACGGCGACTATTGCTGTTGTTAAGGCTACTTTGGGTGGCGCCATTCTGTCCAATACCTACATGATGGCAATTGGTGGTTATGTTTCTGCTGTTTTATTGCTGATATTCATGGCGGTGTTGAATGTGCTTTCTATAGATATGATTACTAAGACTGTTGAGAAGACGGGCAAGACTTCGTACGCTACCATCATAGAGCATCTATATGGTCGTAAGGTGCTTTACGGCTTCCAGATTGCTATGGTTGTCTTCTGTTTGGGTAGCAGTGCCTCTTATTTGGTAACTGTTGTCGATTCATTGGCACCATTGTTCAATCAGCTCACCATCGATGACCCCAATGCTTGGTATCATATCATGTTAACCTCGAGGTATTACTTATCCCTCATCATGTTGGGTATTGTCATGTACCCAATCTGTCTGGTTAAGAGTCTCGGCTCGTTGAGGTACCTCACTATTGTTAGTATTCTCGGAATATTCTGGCTGGCTATCGTAGCTCTATATCTCCTTGGCTCGAACGGTATTTCTGAGAACTTCGATCGTGGTCATGCCTATGCCCCTGTCAGCTGGATCGCCTGCATCGAGGGTGTCACCACGTACATCTTCGGTTTCTGCAACCAAGCTAACATGCCCGAGATCTACATGGAGATGAGCAATAGAAGCCCAAAGAAGCTGCGTTCGGTCGCTGTCTGGTCTGCCGTTATTTGCACTGCTGTTTACTTCATCATTGCCATCCCGTTCCTTCTGGTTTTCGGTTCTGATGCACAGAGCAGTGTCTTGCTTAACATGGCTGATTGGATCCCCCAGGGTGATGTTGTTGTCATCATTGGCTTCATCTGGACGGGCATCTCATTCATTGGCACTTATCCGTTTATGGTGTATCCTGTCCGTGTCGCCCTCATCAACACCTTCCAACCAAAGCGTGCTGACTTCTGGGGAGTGGTAGTCGTTACTATCGCAGTCGTCATCTCTTATCTCATCGATATCGCTTTGCCCGATGTATCCATCCTGATGGGTATTGTCGGTGCTATTGCTGGATCCATCCTGTGTTTTATTGCTCCTGGGTATTTCTGCATATCCATCTCGAAGAGCAAGAGATTCTTCGCTGCTGAGAATTGGTTGTATGCAGGATTCGTTATCCTAGGCTGCATTACCTTGGTCGGTGGTACCGCGATATCGGTTTACCAGATCCTAGAGTTCGCTGAGTAGACGACTACTACTATACTAATACGAAGTATAAAGACGAATAACACTATCTGTTGTACTGCGATTGAAATGTGATGGAAAAATGGTTTCTTATTATTAGGCTGTTGACCAACTGTTGACTCCTATTACTGTTGATATTGTATGTGAGTCCATAGTGGTAAACCCCTGTATCACCGCTAGGAATGCGTGATTGTTGCTGGCTATTTGCTTCATTGAACTTATAAAATGGATTGTCTTACCTTTAGACTATCACAGGGATCTATGTTATGCTACCAGGAAGGTCTACCCTCTGGGCGCTGGGTTCCTATATTGCTGATTTTGGTTCTTGTTGGCGTATCGTGATAGACACCGCTTTTACTGCCACTTGCTGCTCCCCGTTACACAGTATTTTTCGCGGGTGAGCAGAGTAGCAAATTCAGTGGTTACCCTCATTTTCAAGGGTCTTCTGCGTGTCGGCGGTTGGTCTCTATCAACGTGTCAGCATTCTTACCAAGTCAGTTGATGCTGCTGTACATTTGGCCAGTTTGCCAATTGTCACATCTCCAGTGATGGTCCATCATTGTTTGCAATGATGTTCATTATAAAAGAGTCCATTGCTGTTCCCACGATTTGCTAGAGAAGTACTTCGTGGGGACTTTTTCATTGAAGCACCGGCAACATGCGTTTGTCTTCAGCCTTCTCTTCACATTCATCATAATTTCCCCCATTGGTCGTACGCTGAATCTTCTCGTAGTGTCAGTTGAGTGGCAAGGATAGCCTCAGTGATTCGATACGTTGTTTGTCATCACTAACTGATATATTCTATCATCATACATATCCTCATCTGCTCTATTGCTCCTCGCGAGTACATAAAGTAGTACCTCATCATTCTCCTCTTCCTAATGGTATTCGTCATGCGTCATCATTGGCCACGGTTATTTTCTCCAAGAGATGGCCGCTTGCTGATAGTGATGCTGTCAGTTTGTCTTTGATGTGCGCTGCCGATACCTCTCAATGTCTAGGCTCTACTGTGACTGTGAGTGTTATATATTGCTGTGTTTCATCGCCGTATGCGGCGGCGATCACTGTTGTTACTGTTATGTTCCTTCGATGTGTTCTCTGATTTTAGGGAAGTCAGAACAGTAGTAGTTGTTGTAGCAACTGCGGTAGCAGTAGAACTTCAATACGGAGGAGTATGGTGATACTCTTATATATAAGATTCTTACTATCCTTTCCTTTGCCGGATCGTCCTTTCAGCTCTCCAGCTTTAAGCGATCTTGTATACCTTCAACGTTAGACAAGAGTCTCTCCATCTCCTCCAGGTTGAGTTCGAATTCAGTCTACAGTGCTCGAATCAATTCAGGAGTTGCTTAGACTGTGTGTCCGAGGCCGAATCTTATACAAAAATACTGTCAGTGTGAACAGCGACTTGGTTATATACTATCCTGTTGGGTAATAACCTTACTGAAAGCATTGATAAATTAACCACAGCAATGGTGGTAGACACAACCTGTGTGTTGTATGATAATGTAAAATTCGATGGCATTCGCGTTTCGGACATTTTAAAACTTACTTGCTTTGGGAAATCTTGAATTAACACCGTTCGCTACTGGCATTAGAAGAATTCAGAGGTCGGAGTGGAGTCCATACCTTAGATTGTGAACATCTTCGGACAAGTACTAATATGCCCCGAGAAATATGAAGTCATTGGGAGGTCGCAAAAAAGGCGAAAAAAATTTCTCTGGAATTCGTTCTTTTATAAAATGGAGTAAAATCTTGTCTGACTCGAGTGTTGGTTTTGACTCGAATCATTTGAGGACTTCGGCGCCATTCGGGGTGAGTGCTGGGGCCTCTGCTGTCGATGAGATCAGTTGTAACGTTGCAAGTAGTCTCAGACGAGTCATCTTATTGTTCGGTGGGTGGATTGGAAATTAGGGTTCAATGGAATGGAAATGTGCGAAAAGTTCTATGGGTGAGGAAGTTGCTCAAGGGAACCGGTGGTGTGCACGTGTTTTACACCGATGCCATCCGGAGACATATTCATAGGTAGAAAGGAGCACGAAGCGACATCCAAATGTTTACGTTGTTACTTACCATCAACACAATACGAAGGAATAGTGAGGAAAAGTAAAACTACAACAACTCTATCGTCGGGATCTCCGAATACCATTATAACGTATCTTCTACCAAGCAACACCAGCAGCGTAGGCGTGATAGCAGCTAATCCAGAGTGGTCAACGACGGTACGACCTGAGCAAAGAGAATTAATACGACCAAAACTTATTTCACCACATAGCCGATTACTATACTTCTTATACAAAATTTCCCGATTTTTTTTTCTGAAAAAAGGTATCTTCCAATTGATGGAAGATTCTTCACTACAACATGTTTCTATTATATCATATAATAGTGAAGTCTCACAACCCGTTTCACGCCAAGTGGCGTGAAACCACTATATTCGCCCTATGCAGTAGTCGTGAAATATATTTCTCACTAGTGTTTTTCATATCAAGGCCGCCTGTGAAACTCCAGTATATAGTCGACATTATCACTAAGAGGCACCCCATGTAACGTTAGCTTACCTTTTTATAATATAATGGAGTTTCACAACAACCCGTTCTACGTGAAGTGGCGTAAAACTCCATGTGAAAAACGGGATATTCGAGCCTTGCAGTAGTCGTGAAATATGTTTTTCACTAGTCTTTTTCATATCACTAGGGTGATGAAACTCCAATGAATAATGATATAATCGGCTATCACATGAAACCAGCCGTCAATAAAGATCATCATAGGTGGTAATTTCAACGGAGAATCCCCGTGCCCTCTGTCACCAGCGTGAACTTCACCGGCTTCAAAAAGTATCTTTCAATTCGAATAGACCACCACCCACCTCCTTTCTCTCGACGCCGACGATCTCCTCTTCCTCCTCCTAGATCGACCACCACCCGACCTCGACCGTGATGTCGACCCTCTACCACGACGCGGCCTCTCCTTCTCTTCATCATCGCGAAAGGACCTTCGAGATCTCCTGCGCGTGTCCGAGCGCGACCGACTTCGACGACGACGACGTGATCTCGATCGTTTACGCGACCGCGAGTCATCTGTCGCGAACATAACTCTTCGCATGCAACATGAGGTACTCCGGAGCGAACGACGCCCATACATTCCCTGTGTGTTCGTTCGTTTTAGATATTTCTCAACGACTACATCTGTTGAGCTCTCGAGACACATCCCATTCGGAAGAGCATATTCCATCTATCCTCCTCCTAAAATTTGTTCCTATCCTATGCCGCGTATTGACCAAATGGTAATGTTATGGTAATGTAATGTTTGTGGTAATGTTTGTGTTCGTACAGAAACCAACGAAACGTTCTCCGAATTTCCTCACAATTTTCGAATCGTTATGTTCGCCGAGCGCCGAACTATGCTATGCAAATGGTTGACAATATGCGCACTATTTGAAAATTTCTCGAACTGCCGAGACGTAACACATTTTTTGAAACTTCAAATTCGTGTGTCGGCGAGCAACGACTTTTCCGACCCACCTCCAGATTCCTTTCTATCATCCTCATCCACTTGCTCTCTTGCTCTCTCTTGAGTTTCCTCAACGGCCCCCATTTCCAATTCCTTACCTACATCATTCTCCTCCTCACCTTTCTCCTCCTTAGAACCTCCTGCTAGTACTGCTGACGTCGGCTCAGCAAACTCGGCGAAACTATACGGAATCAGCGCTATCTTCTGTTCGATCTGACAGTGTTGGAAAATGTATGTTTGCGCTTTCCAAAGCAAATTTCTGTTATTCTCTTTTCAGTTACAAGAATCGCCGAAAATTTCCTCAGAATTTCCCTTTTTTCGCCAACACATGTAGTTGACAATATGAATATTTTCAAACACGAAAAACATAAACATAATTTGTGAAATATTTGAGTCTTGAAGCTCTGCATCCGTTCGCCTCACAGGTGAAAATTTGACGGTAAAAGATAACAATAAAAATGGGCATGCGACATATTCTGAAAGTATGTAATTTGAAAATGTGATTTTTTCACGCACGATTATATATACCTAAGATAAAGTAACCGCATATGTATAGAACTATCTGTGATAAACAGATAATATATGAGAACAGTATGGATAGAAGTTTATAGTATATACAATCACGGATGACCGATTTCTGTGATAGGGTGTCCAAAATGAACAGAGAAAACCGAAGTGACTAAACGATAGAGAAT